GGAGGAGGAGGAGGAGGAGGAGGAGGAGGAGGAGGGAGGTGGATTACAGGCTATATAATCTTCCCTGCCTTTATGACACAGGAAAAGGGCTGGGTTCACAGATTGCACTAAGCGGTGCTTTGTTTAAACCAGGGGTGTCCAACCTTGGCAACTTGGAAGACTTGTGGACTTCAACTCCCAGAATCCCCCAATTTGAAGTTCACAAGTCTTCAAGCTGGCTGGGGAATTCTGGGAATTGGAACTCTACAAGTCTTCCAAGTTGTCAAGGTTGGACACCCCATTTAAACCACGGATACGGAAAAAGCAGGGGTTACAAAATTCCGCACCAGTTATGCAAACTGTAGGTAGTCCTCGACTTACAACAGTTCGTTTAGTGACCGTCCGAAGTTAACAACAGCACTGAAAACAGGGACTTACAACAATTTTCCACCCTTATACAGCCTCCCCAGAGTCAGGTGGGAATGCTTGTCAACTGACTCACATTTATGACGGTTGCGGCGTCCTGGGGGGGGTCACGCGATCCCCTTTTGCGACCGTCTGACGAGCAAAGTCAACGGGGGAAGCCGGATCCGCTTAACAACTGTGTGACTATTTTAACAACTGCAGTGATTCACTGAACAAATGTGGCAGGAAAAGTCGTAAAATGGGGCAAAACTCCCTTAACAGATTTTTCGCTTAGCAATATAAATTTTGGGCTCAGTTGTGGTCGTAGGTTGCGAACTTCCTGTGCATTGTGTGCCTTAAAGTAGATTTTATTTATTTATTTATTTATTATTTATTTATTTATTATATTTCTACCCCGCCCTTCTCCCTGCGGACTCAGGGCGGCTTACAACCATTTAAAAACAAATACATGAATACAAAAATACCAAATTTAACATGTTAATTAAAATGAAATATTATTCTAAGGCCGAAAATTCGAAATTTTTTTTTTTAAAAAAATTATTTTAGAACCAAATTAAAAATAACCCCAAAGATAACCCCAAAGGGGGAGAGTCCCTGGAATGTTCCTCAGTTCCCCCATCTTCTTTCCTCATTAATAAAAGACATTAGGGATCTGCTCAATTCATTGATTTTTTTGTTTGTTTTGTTTCCAAGCCATGCCGTTTGGGGCGTTTTTGGTTATAAATCCTCTGAATTTTACACATCCCTAAAAGAAAATCTTGAGTTAGACCAGGGGTAGGCAACCTTGGCTCTTTTATGACTCGTGGACTCCAACTCCCAGAATTCCTGAGCCAGCTTGGCTGGCTCAGGAATTCTGGGAGTTGAAGTCCACGAGTCATAAAAGAGCCAAGGTTGCCTACCCCTGAGTTAGATCATACCCACTACGGGTAGTCCTTGACTTGGGACTAGAATCTCCATTGCTAAGCAATGAGGCTCTTAAGTGAGTCATGCCCAATTCTGTAACCTTTTTTTTTTTTTGGGCCCTGGTTGTCGTGCAAATCACTGCAGTTGTTGTGAGCTGTGTCATTGTTAAGCGAATCCAGCGTCACCCATTGACTTTGTTGGAAACAGACTGGGAGAATTGCAAAAGGTGATCACGTGACTCTTGGGATGCCGCAAGCGTCGTAAATATGTGCCAGTTGCCAAGCGGCTCAGTTTTGATCACGTGACTGTGAGGATGCGGTGACGATTGTAAGTGTGAGGATGGCTGTAAGTTGCTTTTTTCATTGCCGTTGTAACTTTGAACGGTCCTTAGTCCTTTTGTGGCAAAATTTGAAAGAACCAGTGTACTGTACCCATTATGGATGGATGGATGGATGGATGGATGGATGGATGGATGGATGGACGGACGGACGGACGGACGGACGGACAGACAGATGATAGATAGATAGATAGATAGATAGAAAGATAGAAAGATAGAAAGATAGAAAGATAGAAAGATGACAGATAGATAGACAGATAGACAGACAGATGACAGATAGATAGATGATAGATAGATGGATAGATAGATAGATAGATAGATAGATAGATAGATAGATAGATAGATAGATAGATATGACAGATAGATAGATGATAGATACATAGATAGATAAAGAGGATAGATAGATAAACAATGACATATACAGATGACAGATAGATAGATAGATAGATAGATAGATAGATAGAGAGAGAGAGAGAGAGACAGACAGACAGACAGACAGACAGACATGATAGATAGACAGACATGATAGATAGATAGACAGACAGACAGACAGACAGACAGACAGACAGACAGACAGACAGTGTAAGTTTGAAACAGGAAAGGAAAGGTTTGAAAATTTGTATGCTAAAGAAAAAAAAATAGCTTTGGAGAATGATTTTTCTTGTCCTGCTGTTGAAGAAAAACAAGTTCAGACATTGACAAAGAGAACACATCAGCAATTCAGTGCTGGAGATAAATTGATTCTTCCAGTGTTGTATAATCATTTGATGATGCCTCTCCCTGTCTAAATTGGCCTTAGGTCTTGTTGTGTTCTTGCATTCCAAATATTGGAGATGGAGCCAAGAAGAACACGAGGTTCTGATAAGTGAGCAAAAGGGGTTGAGAATCCAATGTATTTCAGATCAAAATGTAGCAACCGTAGGACACGGCTCTTGATGCATTCCAAATATTGGAGTTGGAGCCAAGAAAAACTATGAGTTCTTGATAAGTGGCTAAAAGGGGTTGATAATTCTGTGAATTTCAGACCACAATGTAGCAATGGTAGAATGCCACTTAACGGAAATAAAAATGAACAGAATAACAACATTGAAAGGGACCTTGGAGGTCTGCTAGTCCAACCCCCTGCTCAAGCAGGAGACCCCATAGTATTTCAGACAGGAAATAGACAGGAGTCTAGTCTCTCCTTAAAAGCCTCCAGTGATGAAGCATCCACTGGTTAACTTTTCTCACTGTTAGGAAATTTCTCCTTGATTCCAGGTTGCTTCTCTCCTTGATTAGTTTCCATCCATTGCTTCCATATAAAGGTTGGTGGTTTTTTTTTAATGGTCTGCCAAGCTAAATCAAAATATTAGAATAGACGTGGACTAAACGTACGGACTTCTAAGACGACCAGGAGTGAATCAGACCAGATTTGGTCTCGACCCCTTTAGATAATGAACATAAATGACTTACTGTTAAAGGTGCAGAATTAGTCTTGCTGTCACAATTCCCTATGTTCTTCGATATCAAATGGACATTAATAAATACCCCCTTCCCCCACGGTGTCAATACCTGTTCCTGACATCAGCAGTAAACACCAGCTATATTCTTTTCTGGCCCTTCTTTTGTCCAATTTCCAGCCATTGTTCTTCATGGAGAATTCCTAGAAACTCCAACCTTCATTCAATATTTATTCAGTTCATATCCTGCCATTTCATTAGTAAATTATGAATGAGACGTGAACTGCCTAGAGTTCCTTGGAGAAGCGGAATATGAAAGCTACCATTTTTAATGATATTTATGAAAACGGAGCAGAAATACCAGATTTGATTTCACAAGTCACACTGCATCGAAGTATGGATCAATCTATTTTAGGCCAGAAGGTGTAAATCTTGGTTCTTTCTTTGCAGATCATGACTTATGAACGTTATGCAGATTCAGCCGTTAGTGATTTATTCAGCAAATCCTAGTTACAGGATAGAGCAATATACGTTCCACCAAATTTATCCTTCTTCTTTCTGCCAGACTTTTGGTTTAGGGTGAAGCACAGCCTGTGTGTTTGTTGAAGGATGGAAGTGGTGGTGCTTAAATAATGACATAGTTTTGTCTAAATGGAAAAGGTAACATGTAATTTCCAGGCTGCAAATGCTGATTTCCCGGTGGTTGGGTAACTAGAGCGTGGATTTGCTTTTCACCTGATGGATCACAACAGCTTAATGCGGCTTTTTTAATGCAGAGGAAGTCCCAGAGAAGGGCTTTATAGAGTTGAGGACCAATGAATTTACGAGGTTCTCCAGCAAACCTGGGGGGGGCAGAGAGATTGGAGAGTGAAATTCAAAGAGAAACCTTCTCCTAACAAGACCCGTAAAAGCCCTTAGGAGTTTCCTGTTGTTTTCTTTTGAGATTTACTGGAAAAGTGGGAGGCAGCTGAAGGCTGGAGAGATTACTGTCCTCAATAAAAGGCCTTCACACAGCCCTTGGCCAACTAACTCATCACGCAAAAGAACTGCAAGAGGACATTTCCCCCCCCCTCCTTTAAAACTTTTCAAAGGCAAATTCCGTCTTGTCACTGTGAAAGAGAACTAGTAGAACAGTCCAGCCAGATAATGAACAATCTGGAATTAGTCACTTTTTCATTGTGGTTATTCTGAAACAAGAAGCCTGGCATAGTTTTAAGCATTTTCGAAAAGGCTTGAGAATATTCTAAATTTTCTGGCAGCTATTTTTAAACATGTTGGTCTGCCGTTTTATTTTCCCGAGCTCATGATTCCATTCTGCAGCACAGAAAGGTCTTTCTATAA